TTAGCAAGTTTCTAAGCAACTTAGCAAGCCTCTGCCTGGAAAAAAAAAATTTTTTTTTAAAGGGTTGAGGATATGACTCAGTGGTAAAACACTCTTGGGTCTAATTCCTGATATCAACAACAACAACAACAACAAAAAGCACAATTTATGTAAAATATAAATTTATGTAAAATATAAAGATCTACTCTCCTCATTTCACTGTTTAACTCTACATTTAGGCTTAATATTTTCCAAAGCAAGAACATATTCTAGGAAAATAATACATTGTATCTGTGTCCCATTACACAGTTATTTGTATATTTATTTAGTTCTAATTTCCTTTCTCATTATTTTAATCATTACTTGTTTTTCATCTCTCCTACTCTGGTTTGTAACTCATTTGAAATCTTCTGTTTTGTTTATCTTTGATTGTAATCCCGTATCTTGTTTATAGTTTACACATAGAAGATGCTTAATAAGTGTTGAATATTATTAAACTTAAAGTTCTCTTACATTGTGCCCTCTGTTTTACTCAGCTTTTGTGTCACTGTGACCAAAAGATCTGATAAGAACTGAGAGGAGTAAAAGTTTATTTTGGCTCATTATTTCAGAGGTTCAGTTCATGACTGGCTGACTACTTAGCTCTCAGCACAAAGGGAGGCAGAATGTCATATGGAAGGGCAGAGCAGAGGAAAAGCAGCTAAGGATATGATAACCAGGAAGCAGGGAGAGAGAGCTTAGTTTATGATGGGCAAAATATAAACCCCAAAGGCACTCCCTCAGTGGCCTCTTTGCTCAGCCACATCCTACTTCTCTACAGTTATCACCTAGTTAATACATGTCAGTGGATTAATGCACTGTTAGGTTATAGCTCTTTTACCTCTGAACATTCTTGCATTGGCTTACACATTGGGGACACCTAATGTCTAACCCATAGCACTATTCTACCTCCATGATATTCTCTGTTACTTTCCTATGGAGAGAGGGGAAGTGATCCTAGTCTCGTTCATCTTACCTGGTTCATTTTTCCCTTTGCAGAATGCCCTTTCTTCCTTTCCTCTATTTGTAAATTTGATTCTAATTTATCTCTTCCATGAGACCTCTATCCTTCATACCACTTTGAATTCTTTTTGTAGATACACCGTTGGGACATTTTGGACATTTGGACATATTATCAATTATCTTTTTTATTTACACCCTGTTTCATCTGGATTGCAAGTTCAAAGTTCTGTATCTCTCTAGCTCTGAGTATTAGCTAACATGTTCAAGAGATTTGTTAGAAATTAAAGAGACTGTTTTAAAAACATTGCTGAATAGTTTGGGAAGAAAACTTAATGACAGAAAATGAAGAGGTCTGCTAGCCAACATGACTAAATTGGCACTGGAACTAATGAAAAGAAGATAATCTCCTTCTGTAGATCAAGTGGATCATATTTTATTATAATTATAGAGTCAGCATGATAGATAGCACCCTTTTCCCCTTTTCTGTAAATCTCTTAATATTTTCACTTATAGTATTGACCATGAACCTCCTTGACAATGTTTTTTGATATTCACTGTGTTTTTTTCTTTGTCTCTTTGAACAATGAACAATGGAGAAATTTTTCTTGTTTCCTTTTTTTTTTCAGTATAATTTGTGTATTTCTTATTGGTCATTTATTTGGGACTGTGAGTCATTTGAACTTTTTTCTGTTGGTTCTGGGATGAAAGCATGATTCTCTCAGCTACCACTAACTCACCATATGTTATAATTATGAAAAGTGATGAAAATTATGGTGGTGGTGAAGCAAAAAGCTGTGATGAATTGATGTTTTGATTATAAATAGCTTAAATTTGTTGTGTATTTTATACACCTAGACATTCTGCACTATTCTTTAAATAGTTTATGGAAGATCTATAATGTAGCTATTATTTACTTTACCTATGAGAGTAATGAGTCTGAGAAGGATTAGGGAGCATTCTTAAAGACCAAATATTTTATAAATAACACTGATAGACAATCTGGTGTTAAAGGTAGAGATTTTATTTTATTTACTCTTATAGTCCCAACATTTAGAACAGTGGCTGGAATTGTTTTGTTGAATGAATCCAGTTCCTCTCCCTCATTCTCTCTTGAATTCAACATCGGATCTTTCACTTTCATTACTGCATCATAGCCACTCTGTTAAAACTACTAACCTCCAAAGGCCCATTTTCATGCTTTTCTTACTTAAACTATCAGCAGTTACCTTAGTTCATTTTCTGTTGCTGTAAAACATGCTACCTGGGTGACTTACGATGAATAGAGGTTTATTTTGGCCTATAGTTCTGGAGGCTACACGTTTACGACCAGGTGGCTACAATTGGGAAGAGCCTTGGACTGACGCATCACTTGATGGAAATGTAGGACAAGCATAAGCGATGACATTGTTTTATAACTACCTGCTTTTACAGTAACTAACTCAGTCCTAAAAGGTGAAAATTCTCTCCATTTGAAAGACATTAACCTCTTTTAAGGATCTAATCACCTTTTTAAAGCCCTTACCTTGCACCACTGTTAATATTGGGAATCAAATTTCAACATGAATTTTGGAAGGGACAAACCATATTGAAACCATGGCAGCATTATTTGGCCCAATTATTTTTTCTCCTTCCTTAAAATATTTTCTTTATTGGCTTCCAAAGCTTCCCATTCTCCCATTTCTTCCCCTTCACCCCAGCTTCTATTCCCAGGGCTCATTCTTTAAATGTTTTCTCCTCCTTATTTATATTCACTTATTTGGTGATAGTGCCATATTTTTAAAATACCATTTAGACTCTAGTACTTAATTTATTTCTTGATCCTAGACTTTTCCCCTGAATTTTTCTCTAATATATTGTGCAATTAATTAATAGATTAATACGTATATAAAGCTTAATATATCCCAAACTAGTTTCCTGATATTTTACTCTTCCTGTTCAAAGGGTATAACTGCTGGGGTGTGGTGGTGCATGTCTGTAATCCCAGCAGCTTTGGAGGCTGAGGCAGGAGGATCTTAAGTTCAAAGCCAGCCTCAGCAATAGCAAGGTGCTAAGCAACTCAGTGAGACCCTGTCTCTAAATAAAATACAAAATAGGGCTGTGGATGTAGCCCAGTAGTTGAGTTCAGTCCCTGGTACTCGAATAAAAGAAAAAAAAAGGGGTATAACTAATTCACACATACTTAACACTTCTAGTTATTTAAGCCAAAAAAGCTTTACTATCATCCAATCTATTAGCAAAACTGTTGGGCTCTGTCTTCCAAATGCATTCTGAATCTGATCACTTTTCATCTCTATTGTTGTAATTCTGGTCCAAACCAGCAACCTTTTACAGATTTTGTTATAATTGTTTTCTGTCTCATTTTCCTGTCCCCCCTGCCCCCCCCCGCCCCCGCCATGCGCCCTTGGCTCCTTCCACAGACTGCTCTCAACATAGTAGCCAGGGAGGCTCTATTAAAAAAGAAGGAAAGAAAAAATTTTAAAAAATGTATTTTTTGGGCTGGGGATGTGGCTCAAGTGGTAGCGCGCTTGCCTGGCATGCGTGCGGCCCGGGTTCGATCCTCAGCACCACATACAAAACAAAGATGTTGTATCCGCCAATAACTAAAAAATAAATATTAAAATTCTCTCTCTCTCTCTCTGTCTCTCTGTCTCTCCTCTCTCACTCTCTCTTTAAAAAAAATGTATTTTTTTCCTTCTCAGAATAGAAACCTAAATTATTCATGCCTACCTTTTGACCTCACTTCTCTTACTCAGTCTGCCTCCACTGACTTCCTAGCTAATATATCAAGCATGTCCACCTCCCCACCCTCCAGGAGCTTTGCATTTATTTTTGACTAGGCCTAGGAGATGTTCAGTGGGATGGCCAAAAGGTGAGAAGCAGATAGATTGAGGGGAGGCATGGAGCTGATAGAGCAGCCCAACACACATAAATTAACAACTTTAGAACTCCCTGTAGGGAGGGGCAATTCCTGGGACAGGTTACCTTACCAACAGGTTGGAGCAAGGGCAGGTTATCTTGATAGGGTGGAAGAAGGGCAGGCTTCAACTTTTCAGACTCACTCAAATTGATCTTGATCCGACCCGACTTGATTTACCTATCCATAGTGACTGCCTATCTAAATCTGTCTTCATTCTTTCCACAGATGTCTCCATGACTTAGATCTTCTCTTTTCCTAAGTTCTTCCAGTCTTTACTGAGGTGCATTCTTCTCCATGAACCTTCATGGACTATCTCTTTTAAAATTACAGCTCATTCCCTGCATGCCTTTCCCAGCCCTCTCATCAGCACTTCTTTTCCCCTTTCTTATTTTACTTCTTATATTATGTAACATCCTTTGACATACTTTATTTTTTAAATATTTTTTAGTTGTCAATGGACCTTTATTTTATTTATTTTTATGTGGTGCTGAGCATTGAACCCAGTGCCTCATATGTGCTAGGCAAGCACTCTGCCACAGAGCCACAAACCCAGTTCCCCCCCATACTTTATTTTTATTTCTATCAGTGTGTTTGTGTGTGTGTTAAGTCTGTCTCCTTATTAGATATAAATTTTACTAGAATATAAATCCTACGAGGCAGAAATTTATTCATTTGTCCATCCTGACTTTTTTATTTGTTAATCCCCAAATGAACCAAGGAGTGAGTCTCAGAACTAGAATTTGTATTAAGTTCTGTTTGAACTTATAGCTATCAATGGGTTTATGTGTGTGTATTATTTTAAATATACCTCCCTATACTCAAAAACCTTTTGAATCAATGAAGTCTTATAAATTTTATAAATGTGAAGTGAACAGTTAAGATTTATTTAATAAGGAAACATACAGTGATGATTATGATTACTATATTCTGAAATTTGTCTTTAAATATGACTGAGACATATACTGGTTTTATGAATTTTATAAAAGTAGTATGTATATGTGTGTGTGTGTTTTATGTGTAATGTTACTATATATATAATGTTACCATATATTGTGTTTAATATATGTGTGTATAAATAAATATGTATAATATTTTTAAATAGGTTATCAGGACACCCCATGGGAGAGACTTTGATGACTCTTTAGAAAAGTGTGAAGAGTATTTGGGTGCAAGGTCGTGTGGAAAGCCCCAGCATTCAGCGAGGACCTTACTAGTTCATTCAGCACCCTCAACAGTGCCGAAGCATTCTCCGAGCCCTGTGTTAAATAGAGCTTCTCTTAGGGAACGGTAATGTATATTGTCTATTTCCTTACTAATCTTTTTTAATGATCAGCATTAGAAATGAAAGTCAGAACTTATGCATGTGAAGTGATTATGTGTAAAAGTTTCTTTTGATTTTGAGGTTTACTTAAATTATTTTTGTTTAGAGTATATTGTATACCAAGAGATATTTCTCTCTAGCCCAGTTCACTAGAAGTGAGATTATTAATCAGATATGGGTATCTTTAAACCTAAGTAATTAATGTACTATTTTAAAGTAAAAATTAGAGCATATGATCATTTTAGTAGATTAATAGAGATTTAATGTTATAGGCATGCTTTGAGTATAAAAATAGCCTAGGTTATATTTTCCAATTAATTATAATGGTGATTTATGCATTGGTGGCAGATTGTATCTAATTTTCTCCCCCAACTCCCCAAGAGAATCTTTTTTTTCCTTTCTTTTTTTGCTGGTACATACTTACTATATAGAATGAATGGCAGGCTTCATTGTGTCATTCATATGTGTGTGTGTGTGTGTGTGTGTGTGTGTATATGCCACTAACATATATATATATGTATGTATTATATATATGGGGAGTATATATATGCCACTAATATATTTTGTTTATATATATGAATAATATTATACATATGGGGGGATACATTATACATAATTTGATCAGTTTTACTCCCCAGTACCTCCCCTCCCCTTTTCTTCTTACTCCCTCTGATCTTCTTCTTCTACTTTCATGGCATCCTTTTTAAAAAAATCTCTCTACTTCTACTTATAAGACAAAGCATATTTCACTTTCTGAGTCTGACTTATTTTGCTGAAAGTTATGGCCTCTAGTTCTATCCATTTTCCTGCAAATGACATAATTTTGTTCTTCCTTATGGCTGAAAAAAACTCTATGGTGTGTATATAACATTTTCTTTATCAATCCATCCATTGACAGACAGCGAGCCTGACTCGCTGTTGTGAATTGTGCTGTGATAAATATGTGCATGCATGTATCTCTAAAATATGCTGATTTTTAACTAATTTAGATAAATTCCAAGGAGGTATATACCTCAGTTACATGATAGTTCTATTTTTTAGGTTTTTGAGAAACCTCTTCACTGATTTTGACAGTGGCAATACTAAATTACACTTCTACCAACAGTGTGTAAGGGATCCTTTCGAACTCACGTCCTCATCAGTATATATTATTTGTATTCTTTTTTAAATTATTTTTTTTAGTTGTAGTTAAACACAATACCTTTGTTTCACTTATTTATTTTTATGTGGTGCTTAGGATCAAACCCAGGGTCTCGCACATGTGAGGCGAGTGCTCTACCCCTGAGCCACAACCCCAGCCCATTATTTGTATTCTTGATGATTGCCATTCCAACTGGACTGAGATGAAATCTCAATATAGTTTTGATTCATATTTACCTGTTAAGTAAAGATGCTGAACATTTTTCCACATAGTTATTGGACATTTGTATTTCTTCTTTTGAAAAGTGTCTGTTCTGTTCAATTCATTTGCCCATTTGTGGGCAAAATGATTGGATTGTTTGCTTTTTTAATGCCAAGGTTTTTGAGATCATTATATATTTTGGATATTAATTCTCTAGAGTAGCTGGCAGATTTTTTCCCATTTTACCTGTTGTCTCTTAGTGCTGTTGTTTCCTTTACTATGTATAAACTTCTTAATTTTTTAAAAAACTTTTACTTCTTTCTTCCCAATTTTTATTTTATTTATTTATTCTTATGTGGTGCTGAGGATCAAACCCAGTTCCTCACATGCACAAGTCAAGCACTCCACTTCTGAGCCATAACCCTAGCTCCTAAACTTTTTAATTTGATATCATCCCAGTTATGATTCTTGCTCTTATTTCCTTAGCTATATAGGTCCTACATAGAAAGTCTTTGCCTGTATCTATATGTTGAAGTGTTTTCCCTATTTGTTGTTCTAATAGTTACAAACTTCCTGATCTTATACTTAGATCCATTTTGAGTTGGCTTTTGTACAGGGTGAGATAGGAATCTAGTTTGACCGTTCTACATATGGATAGCCAATTTTCCTAGCACCAATTGTTAAAGAGGCTGTCTTTTTTTAGTGTATGTTTTTGATACCTTTGTCAAGAACCAGATGACTATAGCTGCATAGGTTTGTTTCTATATCTCCAATTCTGTTTCATTGGTATAGAATGTCTGTTTTCCTGTGAGTATCATGCTAATTTTCTTGCCATGGCTCTATTGAATAATTTGAAATCATGTATTATGATGCCTCCAGCATTATTATTTTTTTTGGCTCAGCATTGTTTTAGCTATTCTGAGTCTTTGAAATATATTGTTGGTATTTTGATAGGAATTGCATTGAATTTGTAGATCACTTTTGTAGTATGACCATTTTAACAGTTTTAATTGTGCCCATTCATGTCGGGGGCGGGAGATGGGGGTTCCATCCTCTAGTTTCTTTATTCAGATTTCTATAATTTTCATTGTAGAGATCTTTCTCTTCCTTGGTCACAGCTATTCCTAGGTATTTTATTTTATTAGAATCTGTTTTTTAAAAATATATATTTTTAGTTGTTGATAGACCTTTATTTTATTCATTTATTTTTTTTTATATGTGGTACTGAGAATTGAACCCCAGTGCCTCACACACGGGAGACAAGCACTCTACCACTGAGCCATAAACTTAGTGCCTTGAACCTGTTTTGAATGAAATTATTTTACTGATTTCTTTCCCAGAAGATTCAGGTATTGATTTTTATATGTTTACTTTGTATCTTGCTACTTTGCTGAATTTGTCAGCCCTACAAATCTTATAGAAGAACACTTAGAAGGACCTTTGGAGTATTCTAAGTATGGGATCATATCATCTATAAACAGAAATAATTTTATTTTTTCATTTTCTATTTGTATTTCTTTCATTTCTTACATAATAGGAAAGTTCTTATTTCTGTCATAAGTAGTAACTTAGAAAACTGTTTTTGTCATTTTTTTAAAAATAGGCAACTGTATTTATTTAAAAACATAGAAATCTGAAAACCTAAGACACGTTTTAAGCAACTTGAAAATCAGTTTATCTTATATGGTATAAAAAAGATGAAGTAACCACTAAATTCCTACAGCACGTTAGGGACATCAGACATAATTAACAAAGGCTTAATTAATATAGAAAGTATATCCAACATTAAGCGTAAAACTGATGACTCAAACAAGAGTCTATAAGTTAGGTTGCTAAATTAAAACACCTGTGTGAACAGATAGATTTGTCTGTTTCCTTATAAGCCTTTTAAGCATTTGAAAAATATATATATAGAATTCGTAAGCATTCAAAAATATATAGGAGGCATTTTGGCCTTCTAGATAGAATTTTGATTAATGTTGCTTCTTGTCCATTAGAATCATGTCTAAGTAGATAGTAAATTATTGGCTTAGATACACACACACACACACACACACACATACACGCGCGCACACATTAGAAGTCAAGAGAGAGAGAGGAAAGTTGGGGCCTAATCCCACATGATGGAGATTAGGGCCTACTTTTTCTTCTATTAAACACAGGGTCTCTGGTTGTATTCCTAATTCCTTGATCCATTTTGAGTTTAGTTTTGTGCATGGTGAGAGATAGGGGTTTAATCTCATTTTGTTGCATATGAATTTCCAGTTTTCCCAGAATCATTTGTTGAAGAGACTCTCTTTTCTCCAATGCATGTTCTTGGCACCTTTGTCTAATATAATTGTAATTTTGTGGGTTAGTCTCGGTGTCCTCTATTCTGTATCATAGGTCTACCAGTCTGTTTTGGTGCTAATACCTTGCTGTTTTTGTTACTATTGCTCTATAGTATGGTGACACCACCTGCTTCACTTTTCCTGCTAAGGATTGCTTTAGCTATTCTGGGTCTCTTATTTTTTCAGATGAATTTCATGATTGCTTTTTCAATTTGTGCTCTATGTATATAATAAGAATTGTAATGCGTTTTGCTGTCATATATAAATATAAAAATTTACATTAAAAAAAGAGAGAGAAGACAAGATGGCAAGTTAACAGAAAGTGGCTTTTCTCATAACTCCGTGACTCAGAACTCAAACAGCAAACAATTCCTCCTCCGGGAGGTAAATGAATAAAGCACTCCACTGATATTCAATACTGGACAGAAAGCCTCAAACTCTGGGAAATTTTTGGTACATTAGACAAGAGTAAGGAAGAGAATTAGAGCTAAGCTCCTGGTAGGAGCAGAGAAAATTAATACATAATGTCAGAAAAGACTAAAAACTGCTGGAAAATCTTGGCGTTGGGAGACCCGTGGTGGGAGGGGCAACCTGCTCTGGGCCTACCCAGTGGCTATTGAGCTTATTAAACTGGTGCATGAAAGGCACTCGGGTCTGCCTGCTGTGCATGGAGCCCAAGCTGGAGACATTTTGGTACCTTCTGCATCGCCAATTGAGACTTCGAACTTATAATCTGTGAGTTCAGGGCTGAGACCAATAAATGAATCTGGTTGACACCACCATGAGATCTAAACACAGTCTAGCAAATCAGGAGAATATCTGGCACAGAGCATTTCTGGCACAGAAACCATTTTGCCTGGGAGAAATACAGGTGGAGGCCAGAGAAAGCCTGCCCTCCCCTACTCCTTTGAACCCAGCAACTGCAGGACCAGTGGCAGGGAGAATCTGAAGAGGTGGAGTGACTGAGTTCAGTGCTTGGAAATTGTCCTTGAGAGCCAAAAAAGGCCAGTATCCCCAGGTAATATAAATAGTGAAGGACAGACTGCCCTTTCCCACAGTGGAGCCCTGGGGAGAATAGTGCCAGACAGTCCTAGAAGTGCGTCAATTGATTAAGGCCTGAAAACTCCCAACACAGTAAAACACGTGGGGCAATACCAGACCAAATTCCTGCCCCCCCAACACCCTCCCCAGCTTCACTTGCAGAAGCTTATCTCAGAGAACCCAGCAGTCACTGTACCCAGGAAGTGAAACCAAAATCATTTTCCACAGCTCCTCACACCATCCTGCTGAAGAA